AAAGAAAATAACACATTACATGGTGATGCATGATAGTAACATAATTCCTCCGTCTAAAGTGGATAAAGAATGCTATCCATACTCTTCTATAACACATAAGTATCTTCACTCCTAAATTGTGCCATTTTTATGTTTTCCCTTTATTCTTGTTTTTACTCAATCTGTACGTGTTACATGAGTATCTTCATTACAATAGATTGTGTTGCTTTTTTATGGACTCATACTTTGCATAAGAACATTATTATATTTTGAGTTGATGTGGAAAGCTTCAGATGCTGATTGCGTCAAGGGTGCTTCACCGTGCTTAGAATTGGAATGTCCTGGGATGCTTTTCTCAATGCTCCTGCATCTCATTGATTTATAAAATTAATCTTTTAACTAACATATGTAACTTGTGCCTTCTGAAATTATTCGAATTTTTGTATACTGCAGAGTCAATGCCGTCGATACTTGGATCATAGTCATTATTTAAAGACAAAGCAAGCAACAATAACTACACAATCTGCCTGGAGGGCAAGAGTCGCCCGGATAGAATTACGGAAACTTAAAATGGTGATGTTCTTTCTTTTATTTTATTTCCTATTATGTATGTGTTGGTTTCTCATTAGTTACTTTATTGATGCAGGATAAACTACCTTGTCATATGGATAGTTTGCAAACAGAAAAATAAAGATAGACTGAACAAAATAGGTTAGACAGAATAATAATTAGAAAAATAAACACAAAGACAGATAATATGGAATAAAATTCTAATAAAGAAATTTTTAATTCATTATTACCTATTCTCTTTATTGGTAACTGCTAGCTTTCATATAAGCATTAGTTACAACTAATATGGAAAATTATAGTAGAGAAGATGTAAAAGATTCTAATTCCTATAACATTTAATCTACTTGAATAGAAAAGTAAAATATCACAATGCTTGAATAAACCTAAATAATCTAAATAACTTAGAAATACAAAATAATAATAATTGTTACACAGAAATAATCTTCTTCACGGTGATAGCTATGTAAAAGTCATTATCTTGTCCATAACTACCCCTAAAATGCATTAACAACTTGTACTTAGATTTGTAATATTAAAATCGGACCCAACTGGCCATTTTCACCATTCCGACTGTGAACCAAATACCTAAATGTTTTGATTAGATAAATATATTAGATAAACATAAAACAAGTTAGAACTAGTTAAAACTGATAGAAATCAGTAACAACTATCATATTCAATTAAAATCAAGCAGTTCAATTGATGATATTGGGATTATTTTGCAATGGAGTGATTTTCACTTTATTGTGGGTGATTTGGTCAGAGCTGAAAGCTAGAATCTCTCAGGACTATTAATCACCTTTTTCATTTCTTTTGGATAAAGAGTGTGTTTTAGTCTCTGTTAGACTAAGGCTAACAGTTATTTTCAGGATGTTTCTTTATTTGTTTAAGTGGAGATTAGCTAGCTAGCCTTTCACTTGAATAGCTAGCTTATTTTTTTCGTGGATACCTAATGCTCCTTTTCTTATTCTTTCTTTCTATCAATATATCTTTTTTTTCTATAAAAAATATTGTACTTTAAATAATATAAATTTAATTATATTCTTTTATATGTGTCTTTTTAGAACCAGCAGTTCAACTAATGAACTACCTATTGGTCAGACGAATAAATTAGTGAACTTATGTTTTAGCTAGTTTCATGACTGATTTGGTTTTAATAACTATGCTCAAACTGTTATCTTATGAGAAATAAAAGAAAATTTTATTAACAACTCAAAAAGTGGAGAAATTCTGATTTCTTATTATCTCCGATAAATAATTTACATCCTAATATATATACTAAAGTGGCCACCGAAAAAGGAGAAAAAATTCCTGCAAATCAGGAATTCCAACAAAATAGGAAAACTAGAAACTACAAAATCTAATTAAAGAAAAACTAAAACTAGAAGAAAGAGATCAAAAACTATTCTAAGAAAGTAAATAACATCCTAACTAATTGCACAAGTGTCGGCTACTTTCTATACTCGCCCTCAAGCTAGGTTGTAGATGTTATACAAACCAAGCTTGGAGTTCAATTCATCAAAGCTGACCCTTCGTAATGCTTTGGTGAGAATGTCTGCAATCTGAAGTCTTGTTGACACATAGCTTAGCTGCACAATCTCATTGTTAACCTTTTCTGAAATGAAGTGTCGATCAATGTCGATGTGTTTTGTTCTGTCATGATGCACATGATTTTTGGTTATGCTAACAACTGCTTTACTGTTACTAAACATCTTGACGGTGTCCATTGTCTCAACTTTAAGTTCCCTTAATAGCCTTTGAAGCCACATTCCTTCACATATTCTTAGTGCGAGAACACGATATTCTGATTCTGCACTACTCCGAGAGACAATAGCTTGTTTTTTGCTTCTCCAAATGACGAGATTTCCCTAGACGTATGAACCAGTGGCTGACCTCTATCAGTTAATTCTCCTGCCCAGCTAGCATCTGTGTACATCTCAAACTCACGTTTTTCGGATCTTTTGAAGAGCAAACCATGTCCAGGAGTCATCTTCAAATATCTTAAAATCCTATTCACTGCTTTCAAATGGTCCTCATTCAGATTATTCATGTGCTGGCTCACCACACAGATTGAGTAGGCAATGTCAAGTCTTATGTGTGATAGATAGATTAGTTTACCCACAAGTTTTTTATATCTTCCCTTATCAACTGGATTTCTTTTTCCATTTCTGTTTGGCTCTTTGTTGGGATCCATGGGTGTATTAGTAGGTTTGCACCCACGAAAGTCAGTTTCGCTTAACAAGTCCAAGATGTACTTTCTTTGGGATATTACAATTCCCTCCTTAGACCGAGCCACCTCCATTCTCAGAAAGTATCTTAGAGTCCCGAGATCCTTGATATCAACTTCTATTGCAAGCATCTTTTTGAGTCTAATAATTTCTTTTGAATCATCACCTGTTATAATGATATCGTTTACATATACTATAAGAATAACTATCTTAGTTAGATTTAACAAACAGTGTATGATCAGCTTGACACTGATGGTATTCATTTGTAATCACAGTTCTGGCAAACCTGTCAAACCAAGCACGAGAAGATTGTTTCAGGCCATATAAGGATTTCTTCAACTTACAAACCAACCTGTAGTTTGAACTATTTCCAAGCCCGGAGGTATAGTCATGTAGACTTCTTCTTCAAAGTCCCCATTTAAGAAGGCATTTTTAACATCAAGTTGGTATAGAGGCCAATCTTGATTCACTGCAAGAGAGAATAGAACTCGAACAGTATTGAGCTTGGCAACGGGTGCAAAAGTTTTCTTGTAGTCTATCCCATATGACTGCGTGAAGCCCTTTGCTACAAGTCTGGTTTTGAATCTTTTGATACTTCATTTGCTTTGTACTTGACCGTGAATATCCACTTGCAGTCTACAGGATTTTTCCCATGAGTCAATTCTGTAAGAGTCCATATGCCATTACTTTCTAGAGCCCGAATTTCTTCAACTGCTTGTTTCCATGCTGGAACCTTTAGAGCCTCGTGAATAAAGTTAGGAACCTGCACACTATCAAGGTTGGACACAAAGGCCCTGTAAGGTGGTAGCAGCTTCCTATAAACTACATATCTTTTGATTGGATGACTAGTGCACCCTCGGACACCTTTCCTGTGGACAATTGGCTGATTAGAGTCATCAACCAATGGCTCAAGAGTGTCGTGACACAAAAGATCCATACCATTGTGATTATCGGATGCAGGACTTGGTTCCGGTTCTTGGCAGTCACAGATAGTCTGCATAATGTCCTCTATATGCTCAGTTGGTCTTCTCCTTCTGGTTTAGACACAAAGTTCATGATTATTAGTGTCAAGTTGAGGTGGAGCAGAGACAGTTTTAGTGCCTGAGTTTGATTCTTCAAGTGGAGCCGGTTGAGTGGAAGTGTTTGGGGTATTTGGAGTTGTTGAGGGAAAAATGGCCTGAGTGTCTTGGAAAAGATCTCAAATATGATATTCCCTCAAGTTCTCCCCCTGAATATCGGATTTGTGAAAGTAAGATTGGTTCTCAAAAAAGGTGACATCCATGGAGTTGTATGCTTTCCTAGTGATTGGGAGTAACACTTGTATCCTTTTTGGTTAGAGGCATAACCAAGGAAGATGCACTTGAGAGACTTGGGATCAAGTTTGGTGCAGTGTTGTTGGTGGATGTGAATAAAGAAAGAACAACCAAAAACCTTTAGTGGTACGTTGGAAGAAAAAGAGTGGATAAGTGGATAGGCTTTCATGAGAGTATGACGAGTAGTTTGGAATTTTAGTACTCAACTAGGCATCCTATTGATGAGATATGTGACTGTGAGTATGGTTTCCCCTCAAAAGTGTTTAGGCACATGATTAGAGAACATACTGGCACGGGCTACCTCAAGTAAATGTCTATTCTTCCTCTTAGTGACGCCATTTTGTTGAGGAGTATCAACAAAAGAGCTTATATGAATGATACAATGATTGGAAAGATAAGGACCAAGAATGGAATTAAAACACTCCTTGGCATTATCTATTTTAAGTACTTGAATAATGCTTTGAAATTGAGTAGAGATCATGGAGAAAGGATTGAAATATGGTGGCTGTTTCGGATTTTTCTTTCGTAAGGAATGTCCAAGTTGTTCTCATATAATCATCTATGAAAGACAAAAACCATCGAACCCCATTTATATTTTTTACTCGTGAGGGTCCCCAAATATCACTGTGAATTGCAAAAACTGGATGTAAAGGTTTGTATTGTAAACTAGAATATATATGTCTAGTATGTTTTGCAAGCTGACAAATTTCACATTTGTAAAAATTAGATTTTTTATTGATAAACAAATGTGGAAACAACTTTTCAATATACGCAAAATTTGGATGAGCAAGATGACAATGCCATAAAATAACTTGACTCTCAGAATTTGAAAGAGACACAGAATTGGAAACAAGATTGACAGAGTTGGAACTAGATTGAGAAGCACAAATTGATAGGTGAACTTATCTATCAAGGAGATTATTTTCTTTGAGCAAATATAGACCACCATGCATCTCAACACTGACAATCACCTTTCCCGAATCCACTGCCTGAAATTCACAAATATTAGAATAGAATTTAGTCACACATTTTGAGTCACGGGTAAGTTTGCTGATTGAGAGTAGGTTGCAATCTAATTTAGGAACATAAAGGACAGAGTTAAGATGAAAATCCTTTGTTAATTGGACTGATCCGGTTCCTGCCACTGGAGAGAATGAACCATCAGCTATTCGGACTGCAGCGTGAATAGTCCATGGACTATAGTTTCTGAAAATGTTGATGTCTCCAGTCATATGATCCGAGGCTTTCGAGTCAACTATCCAAGGTTTTGGTGTCCTATTTTGTACAATATGAGTATAGGATAGAGTACCTTGGTGTGCTAGAAGACTGGTAGGTTGTTCAGCAGAGGATTGTGGTGCTTGTCCAGAACTGGGAACGTGACCAAACATTTTCTGCAGTGCCTCAATTTGCTCCTTAGTGAATGGACTGAATTCTGCATTTTTGTCTGTTGTGGCAGCAGCATTTGACAGTTCTCTCTCTCATATCTTCCACTGAATGGCTTCCAATCTGCAGGTTTTCCATATATTTTCCAGAATGTCTCCTTCAGATGACCAAATTTCTTACAACGGTCACACCATGGTCGTCTTTTCCTTGGCTTATTATTCTGAGAGGAACTGTGAGTGTACAAGGCTGACCCTTCAACAGTGGGTGTATTGTGGTTGTCTGTCATCATCAGTTTCTTTTTGCTCTCCTCTCTACGAACTTCTGCAAAAGCCTCCCGAATAGTTGGAAGAGGTTTAATCCCCACGATTCTCCCCCTGACTTCGTCTAGGTCTTTATTGAGGTCAAGAATAAATCTGATGGTCCTTTTCTGTTCAACAATTTTCCTATACAAGGCAGAATCATCAGGGCATTTCCAAGAATAAATCTCGTACATGTTCAATTGCAGCCAACTGCGTGTGAGAGTGTTGAAATATTGAATAATACTCAATTCTCCGTGTCATATCTCAATCTCAAATAACTCTGAGGAATTCTCAGTGCTAGAATATGTTTCACAAGCAGCCTCCCATATCTCCTTGGCTGTCCTACAGAGCAAAAAGTTTTCTCCAACCTCTGTGGTCATGGAATTTATTAGCCAAGACATAACCAAGTGATCATCAGTTTTCTAAGTCCAGTATTTAGGATCTGTTGTTTCCGGAGCAGAGATTTCGCCTGTGAGATGTCCATCATTTCCTCTGCCACAGATGTACATGAAAACAGATTGTGACCACTGAAGAAAATTGTGGCCATCAAGTTTGAGATTTTTGACAATATGAGAGGAAGAATCGGGAACAATAGGGGCTGTAGAATTAGGCTCGGATCTAGAAGTGACAGGCCATGCCGTATTTTGTTATGAGGAAAGTGCGGTAGAGAGAAAAAATTTTGGAATGGATTAGGGTTTAGGAACCTGGCTCTGATACCATGAAGAAATTCTAATTTCTTATTATCCCCAAAAAATAATTTACATCTTAATATATATACTAGAGGGGCTGGCATAGCAGTCCACCGAAAAAGGAGAAAGGATCCCTACAAATTAGGAATTCCAACAAAATAGGAAAACTAGAAAACTACAAAATCTAATTAAGGAAAAACTAAAACTAGAAGAAAGAGATCAAAAGCTATTCTAAGAAAGTAAAGAACATTATAACTAATTGCACAAGTGTCAGCTACTTTCTACAAAAAGGAATACAAAGTAGATGGGAAGGATAAAATATCCTCGTGAAAAAAAAAGGGAAGAAACATTGAATCCTAGCTCAAAGAGAAGTAAGAAACACCTATCTTTTCCTTAGAAATTGAATTGGTTAAGATTGTTGCTTGAAGATTGTCAATCAGGCCATAACTTTATGAAGATAGCCCCCACCAGCAGTACATATTCTCCTCAGGGGGACATACCTGCAAAATGTCAGATGTGAAAAATCCTCCAAACTAACTTGCAGTGAAGAATACACATGACTATTGTTTCAAATGAGAAATTGGGAGATACTCAAATTCGGGCTACTATGAGGGGAGGTACTAAATCATATTATTGAGGCCTCCTTCCTTTCTTGAGTGACAATGCACCTCCCATCTATTTGGATGATGCCTTCTAGTGTCCCTCATGCCAAACCATACAAAATCTCTTATAGTCTATTAGTAATGTCGGTTGGGGTTTTAAGCGTAGATGGATGATAATGAAGGATGCTGGACAAACATGCGTAAAGGAGAGTGACCCAACCATCTAAAGAAAATGAAGCACCTTTCACCAGCTCTCTAGATGCATAGAAATTGTTCAAGATGTTATCTATTTAACTTCTCTATTGAAATTAGTTGCTTTTTCCTTACCTACCTATCAAGTACATGCACAACTCAACTAAACATTTTAGCTTATTGGGAAACATAGCTATTGAGAATGTGATATATTTTAACTTCGAGTTTTTATCACTGAATTGCTAATCTAGCAAGAGGTTTCTATCAGTTAGATATCTTCCTTGTTCTTTCTTTATTATATTGATTCAAATGGTTGAATTCTTCTATTCTTCCTGATCTGCAGGCGGCTAAAGAAACAGGTGCTCTCCAAGCTGCCAAAAGTAAACTGGAAAAGGAAGTTGAAGAACTCACATGGCATCTGCAGTTGGAAAAACGAATGAGGGTAGGAATTTTCTTTTTCGAATTTTGAAATAACCAAGAAGTTATCAAATGTATGATATTGTAGAAGTAATATTTCAATATGATCAATGCCATGAAACAAATTATCTGTCAATAACTTTGTATGCTATCATCCATATTAAGTGGCAAACACCCAGAAAAAAGGAATTTTCTTATCCAGACGAGCAATGGAATTTGCCTGCTTGCTGAATTTTAACTTCATTACTTTCTTTGTTGAAGTATATGAATAATTAAGTGGGGCTTTCCTATTAACTTAACTATTCCACATAATAGCAGGTTTAAGAGTTTGAATACTGTATACTCCATTTATACTTCAAAATTAAATTCAGCATATAGTGTAGTAGAATTCAGCTCTTTCATCCTTTAAACCTAGTGTCCTTGTCTGTGAGTCAGTGTGTTCAAATATATGAATAATTAAGTAGAACTTTTCTATTTAGGTTTTTGGGATAATTGGTCACGCAACTTAATTATTTCCTAGCTTTAAAGTACATATTTTATAAAAGAAAACATGCTGTTTTCATCTTTTTATGCAAAAAAGACTTTCTTCTCAAAAGTGATGGGCCTTTTATAACCTCTATTAATAAGATGATCCATCAATCCTTGCTTAAAAAATTTATAGGAATAAAAAACCATTATTCACAATCCGCCAAGTGTGTTTTCCCAGTGACTATGACAATCATGTCTAAATCTAGTTTATTTATTCCAAACACTTATACAGGCTGACCTTGAGGAAGCACGGATCCAGGAAAATGAGAAGTTGCAGTCTGCTTTGCGAGAAATGCAACTGGAATTCCAAGAGACCAAAGAGCTGCTTATCAAGGAACGTGAAGCTGCAAAGAAAGTGGAGGAACAAGTCCCAGTGGTCCAGGAAGTTAAAGTTGTCGATCATGAAATAATGAATAAACTTACTGCTGAAAATGAGCAGCTCAAGGTTCCATCAAATCTATGTTGCTTTTATATAAGATCTCAATTTATGTTTATTCATTTATTTTGGGGTTCGAAAGGAGGTTACTAGGAAAAGATTGTTTGAATGCGCAACTGTGGTTTTGTTAAATTTTGCATTTATTTATTGATTATTTGATGGCTATTACACGTTTCAGGCTCTGGTAAGTTCATTAGAAAACAAAATTGATGAAACAGAGAAAAAATTTGAAGAAACCAGTAAGCTCAGTGAAGAACGGTTGAAGCAGGCATTGGAGGCAGAGTCAAAGATAATTGAGTTGAAAACTGCCATGCAGAGGTTTGTGGGGTAGTCTACCTTCAGTGAAAGTGGCTTATTGTTTCTGTCAAATTTCATAAAGCTGCATCTTAGAGTTTTACTCTTCTTGATGTAGATGTGGAAGCTGGATCATGTTTTTTATCTTTAATTTGAAAAATTGACTATATCTTTTCTCAGGCTCGAAGAAAAATTGTCTGATATAGAGACTGAGGATAAAATTCTACGGCAGCAGGCACTACGGAATTCAACTTCGAAGAGAATGTCGGGACATTTATTAGTTGCAACAGGGCAGGTAACTAATAATACAAAATGTTGATATTTTCACTTAAATTGGATTGAAAAAGTTCTGATATTTTTCCTTTTTCTATATTATCACAGCCTTTAGAGAATGGGCATCAAGTAAGTGAAGAATATAACACCATTTCAGCTCTACTATTATGGAGTTTCAATAATGTTTACCTATATCTGTTTTCTTAGATAAAGAACCTATTCTTACAGGAACCACTTAGTTCTCAACCATCAAAAAAGTTTGGTACATGCGACAGTCAATTGAGGAGATCTCAGATTGAACGGCAACAAGTACGTGCTTAAATGATAAATTTTTTCATTTGGTTTAGATTCAAAGATGAAATTCAAATGGATTATTACAGTTTTCTTATATTATTTCTGGTTTTTGTGCAGGAGAGTATAGATGCTCTGGTCAAATGTGTGACACAAAATCTTGGATTCAGTGGAGGAAAACCCATTGCATCAATTACGATATATAAATGTCTTCTCCATTGGAGATCATTTGAAGCAGAAAGAACCAGTGTATTTGATCGGCTTATTCAGATGGTTGGTTCTGCACTAGAGGTAAAAGGAAAAAAACTTGATGGCAATTGGATTATCAACTCGAACTGCAATTCCCTATTATTGACCAACAGAGAGATCCTACATATTTTTTTACCAATGGAAGAATGTAGAACTCTCATTCATGTTAAGATTGTGCGGAATAGCTGGTTGACCTCATTTGTGATGGGAATTACAAAATCTGAAGTGTGAATGTTCCATTTCTGTTTTTCTGCCAGGAAAATTTGCGATCTTTTTTGATTCTCTTTAGAAAAGAATAAAAATATTACTTGAGCAATTCAAAATAGAGAAGTTTTTCAGTAACAGTTGTGGCAGAGCTATACTAGGACTCCTACTTAACTTATTCCTTTCTTACCATATTATGAACAAGGGATCAATCTGGCCCGCCCATGTATGAATTTGTGTAATCAATCTAATTTCTCTTGAAATTTCTGCCCAAATGTATGTTTTGTTTTGTCTTTTTTTGCAGTCTAGGGTGGAGAATGCATCTCGTTTTCTCCTTTGGGCCCGTCATGATAACCATATATCCTGGAATTCGTACTGTGTTAGAAACGCAATCCTGGAAGCATCCGACCTGGGTTCTTTGATCTCTCTTTGGTCCTTTCATCCTCTTCCAACTGTGATTTTTGAATTTGGTTTCTTCATTTTCGGAGCCTATAACCTGTAAACCTTCTTTGATCATCTCACCCATACCTGCAGTAAATTAATGTTAGTTTTTCTTTAATTCTGGAAAGTGAAAGTTCTTTCCACAGTGAAAGCTTTTATTTAGACAGTGGTGCATGATAAATTAATGCTAATGACTTGCTTCCAGTTTGCCCGGGATTGTTCTCTACCCTGATGTGTGCTTCCTGTGTTTTTATAGCTCAGAATATAATAGTCATTTGTTTCTGCATTGTGAGGTGCTCGGAAGGTTTGGGCTAAACCTTTTTTCTCTTCTAGTTTAGGTTGGTTTTGTTTGCCTCCAAAATTTGCAGATTTTCGTTTCTGTTTCTCTGTAATTTGGGGATGAGTATAGAACACTCCTCATCTTTTAGAGAAGCAATTTTGCAGGTCTTTGGGTCCTTCAGTTAGGCAGAAATGCTGAAATCTTACAATCATATTTCTATTCTGTTACAAAGTTGGGGGACATGATTATGTGCCTAGCTTCTCTTGGGCTAAAGTTCATTTATTCTTTAGGGAGATTCCTCTTTCTACCTTCAGGGGGATTGGGTTGCTATTTTATGCTGATGTTTTAGATTTTTTCATTGTTTTCTTTCATGTTTTTCGATTCCTGTCTTTCTTAGGATTTCTTATCCTTTTAAAGGTTGTATTTCCTCTTTCTTCTCTATTGATTTGTTACAAATATAAAGAAAAAGGGTCTTCAGCTAAAAATCTGGGATCCGTTGGAAGAGTGATTCAACAGTTTCTGAGCTCTGAAGTTTCTTTCTCTCCAAACAGTCCACAAAATTAATAGTGGAATTAAGCCAGAGTCTTCCTTCTCTGCTTAAAACTGCCCCTTGCTTAGTTCAGATCTCATCTTCTTGCATGGAACCTACTATAATTGAATTCAATCCTTACTCATTTGCTTGCTTTGATTGAAAGGGAATTTCAAAATTTTTTTTCAATTTTTTGGAGTGTGAAAGCTCCATTGAGGTTTTACCCTTTTGATAGGATCTACCAAGCTTTTTCCTTCTTAATATTTGTCCCAACTGAAGACAGGTAATAGCATGGGCTGAGAAAAGATTAATGGTTGCTGTTTCGAGCTTAGTAAAGTGAAATGTGACGTGATTTGGGTTATACATAATATTTTGCAGAACCAGGAGGATAACCGTCATATGGTTTATTGGCTTTCCAACACATCTGCATTATTGTTCCTGCTCCAACGAAGTTTAAAAGCCCCTGGTGCATCTAGTTCAAGTCCACATCAGAAACCTCCGCAGCCAACATCTTTTTTTGGAAGAATGGCACAAGTAATGTTATTTATTCAATTTTGCTTTTTGTTAAATATTTTCCACATGATTGCAGTTTAGAGTTTAGAATACTAAGCAATGAACACCTTGTTTTTTTGGTTTAACCAATTCTACTTCTTTTTCAAAAGTCATCTGATAGATTCCCCTCTTGCAGGGTTTCCGTTCATCTTCTTCTTCTGCAAACCTTTCTGTTGATGTAGTACGTCAGGTAGAGGCCAAATACCCAGCTTTGCTTTTTAAGCAGCAACTTACAGCATATGTGGAAACAATATATGCAATCATTCGGGACAATTTGAAGAAAGACTTGTCACCACTGCTTTCATCTTGCAGGAAGGTAAGGGATATTTATTTATCCATCTTTGGAATTTCCTATCACTTTTTATTTGTTTTCTGTTTGTTAAAATTTTTTAGTTGGTGCGCATTATAAGGGTTAATTTTTTTGTACTTCTTTGTTTGGAAAGGAATAGGAATGCATCTGAAATAGTGGAACATTGTGGTTGGTCAAAAATCATTTTTTCTCCATTCTATTATCTTAAAATTTTGTTCTATCTTGAAAGTTACTTTGATTTCTTTTTGTTTTTTCTTTCAATATGTGTAGTTTCTTTTGGGTTTTATTTCTGGTTCATGTGGGGTTTCTACAAGGAGAGTGAATTACTTGCCTACCATTTCCATGATCCTTGATGGTTAAACAAGTTATTCTATAGGAAAAGAGAAATGCCAAATGCTGTTAATCAGTGGTAGTGAGGTTACTTCTATTACTGTTGTGCAACTGATTTAGGTTTTTACGGCTTGATCCCTGAGTGTAACATTTGTATGTTAAAAGGTCTTAATGTGTAACCCCTAATTGACTCTTCAGTCCTGGACTTCATCTGTAATTTTTCTTGTTAAGAGTAATTTTCTAATCGGTCAATTTCTCATCCCAAAATTAGGCACCTGAGGAACCATCTGCGGACCCATCTGGCAACAGTCCCTCAGCTAACCCCTGGGAGGGAATTATCGAGAAGCTCAATGGGCTCCGATGTACATTGAAAGAAAATTTTGTATGTTGACTTTTGAAGCACCAAAAGCAAATTATTTTGCCCCTTTCAATAAATAACTTACTAATTTTGCACTGTTTCAGGTGCCTTCAATTCTTGTTGAGAAAATGTTCAATCAAATTTTCTCACATATCAACCTACAACTTTTTAATAGGTAATTTGTTTTCTAAATATTCCATTTATTTTTTCATGGTGTGAATTACATATACCAGAGCACTTAGCAAACACAATAATGTCATATGCTGCTGCAGTCTTCTTCTTCATCAAGAGTGCTGCACTTTCAGCAACGGAGAATATGTGAAGGCTGGATTAGTTGAATTAGACCTATGGTGTGGTGAAACAAAAGAGGAGGTACCTTTTAGCCTTTTTACCTTTGACAATGAATGCCAAACCCATAAGATCTTATCATATTGAACATAGTGAAGTCTCCATCAATTTTCTCAAGTTTCTAGATCATGTAAGACTTTTATTGCTGAAAATTTGTTAATATAGTATGCAGGCTTGTCCTGGGATGAACTCAAACATACAAGGCAAGCTGTCGGATTCTTGGTATGTTTCTTTGTCTTTGTACAAGTAAATGCAAAAATATTGTGTTACATTCCAGACCTGCTTGTCGAATACAGAGACGTGTTGTTCTCCTTCAGCGTTTTTTTAGTAACTGCTACCAAAGTGGTGGAGTTTGTTTACCATATATATACAACTTGGTAGTAAGAAGCATTTTACTCTACATTTCTTTTTAATTTTGGTTTTCAGAGGATATCTTGACCTCCTGTATAACATTGTCCTCCTTCCTCTCTAATGATAAATTCTTATTTTATCCCAAAAAAAAAAAAGATTGCTTGTGGTTCACTACAGTTTACCATTCTCTCATGGAATGCAGTAACTCCTTCGCATGCATATACAATTAGGTTTTGCCGATTCTTGAAGATATATCCGTACAAAAGATTTGAACTCTTTTTTTTTAACCTCTAGAACACTTTTTAAATAGAAACTTCTGGAACAATAATAGTCTCAAAGATGTCTTAAGACTGCTGTTTACTCCAATTTAGCATTCATGCGAAATGGGGGTATGTCTCCTCTGCCTTGGTTGATTTTTATATATTATTGATTATGCATGTAAAGTACTATGAAACTTTCAACATCTTTTGGATCTCATTTTACTTTGTTATTTAGATCTTGATTAACAATGTGGTTAAGGTTTGATATCCCCAGTGATGTGATATTATCTAGATAAGGTTTAGTCACCCCCATAGTTTAAGTGTTTATTACACAAAAGATTATTTGCACTCATGGTTAAAATGACCTGGGGCATTGGATTCATTATCCTGCACTCAACATGGTATGTTCGTGAAGATTTTTAGACTGTTCAACTATAAATATCCCCTCATTTGTGAGTCAAAGCATGGCTTTTTAGCTAAATGTAAGTGATTAGAGACTGTGGTTAGTGGAGTACATGAGAGACTCGTTTTTGTGTTGAAAAATACTAGTGTATGGCTTGTACTCTCAAGTACTTAAGTGGTGAGATTGTATAACTAGGATTCAGTTTGAATTTCTTGTCTCATAATCTGACCTTGTAATCTCCTACACTGACAGTGAAAGTCTTTGTTGTGTTTGTTTATGGAGGGCTACAAAGCTGAGCCACGTCAATTTTTTTTTTTTTTAATTTTCTGTTCTGGTTGTGTGCTTCTTGATTATTTCTCGTAATTGCTTTTCTTAATTTCCTATTTTGTACTAGTTGCTCAATGGTTGAGACAAGTTATCTTAATAACTTGATCTAGAAGTTACTAATTATTATCAGACTATAACACCCATGATTTGTTGTATTGGCTGGAGGATTCCTGTCAATCTTGATTATAACAACTTTCTCTCATTCTAAGAATTTTCTTCTTTTACTTAACAAAAGTGCATTTTGAGGGATATTCCTTTGGTGACATTTTATTCATAAAAATCATTTGGTTGCGTGTTCTCAAGTTATATCTAACTGTTTTCCAGAAAACAATTGTCAATGTATACCAGTATATTGTTAAGAATCTATTAAATCGGACTTCGTTGAAAGTCCGTGGTTGAGATATCGAGCAATCCTCTACCGTCATTTAAGTAGATAGAGATAGTCATCATCGTGTTTTCTTTCTAAGCCTGATTCAATGCACCTTTCTTTTCAGGTTCTACAACAGAAATCCAGTATATCTTATGATGAAATTACAAATGACCTATGCCCGGTAACTTTCTTCCTCTCTCTCTCTCTCTCTCTCTCTCTCTCTCTCTCACACACACACACTCACAAACGATAGGTAAGAAAGTGTGGCGAATATTTGCGTACAATGAAAATTAATGTTAAAGCAAGGGGAAGAGTGAAAAGATAATCAAATATACATCTACATTCACGGATTCTCAACTTTTTTACTATGAGGAACTCAATCCTAGGGTTAGGATTTTCCTTTATATGGTAGATTAATGAGAAAGACCAAAATTACAAAATGACTCCCATTATCCAATAAAGAAAAGGCCTTACCTCATAAAGTTATACTGTGCTGCAATAGTTTTCCTCGCCGCCAACATACCCACTTAAAAAGGCCAGGTTGAAATGATTAATAATCATAACTTTGAAGCACAAAACCCCATTTTTACTGGAAATCTTTTGTGAATAATGATTTCGCTATATATATGGATCCAAATTTAAGAGGTATTCCCTGGGCTCTGAGAAAGATAAACAAAAGAACAGTGAAGGGTTTTAAATTGTGGGGGAGCCAATTGAAGCACTTATATTGGTGTGGGAAATCTGAGAATTTTTCATGGAAAAAGTGAGCTTCAAAATTGTATTAACAGAAGATTCTCTCCTAAAGAAAGGAATAACAGAAACAAAACAAAAATGACTTTTTAATGAAGAAAACAAACGTGAAAGGGAGAGAGAGGAAATAGGCAGGAAAAAGGGACTTTGAATGAAGAAATAAGAGGGAGGGAGAGAGAATAAAGAACAAGGAAGAAGGCATAGAAGCAAATAACTGGAAATCTTTTCAACTGAAATATACCATTCAACTTAACCTATCTCTGATTTCTTGTCCCGTTTGGATGGTGAGAGCTCGTAGAATTTCTTCTTTTCAAGAAGCATTAGTGATAGAAAAACTAATGGTTGGATGTCTTTGCTTAATCTTGAGCCTTTTCATTTTTTCCCCGACATGAAGGTGGAATGTGAACTTTGGGTTCTTCTGGGTTTTAAGTTGTAACTCCTTTTTTGCACCTTATTCACCATCCTGATAATAAAAATATGACATTTACTTATCTTCCTGGGAGGTGACTGCTTGTCCTAAGGTTAAGGTTTATATATGAATTGTAGCTCTCAAATATATTAGCGTTAACTATCATACACCGAGTCCCATATCCAGCTCGTTCATCATTACAATGTAACTCAGAAACTATGGGCTAGGCTTCCTTTGGAAGAAAACCAAGGGCTGCAACCCATCTAGAAAGGAAAAGAAGTTATGAGTTTGTCAAAATATCTATAGTGTCCTTTAAATCCACCTCGAAATTGAGCAGATGACTATTGTTCAGAGAAAAAATGGTATGGAACCATGTATCACGAACTCCATCAGAAAAGAAAGTCTACTGTGGTTGGAAAGGAATGCTAGAGTTTTCAGAAATCGATTTCATCTTCTTTGTTGCTTCGCGATAGATTAATCTTTTGGCTTCTCTTTGGATTAAGGCCATCTCGTTAGCTATTTTACAAGGAGTTGGGCTGCTATTTTTTATTAATTTTCCTTTTCCTTTTCTCGCTTTTGTTTCTTGTGGTTTTGAGTTTGCTGCAGGAGAGTCCCTTTCCTCCTTTGTTTAATTATTTCTCTCATCCTACTGATATTTCTTCTTTTATCACCAAAAAATAAAAATAAAAACCAAATGTGAAAAGCAAGAAAACAGAAAAAGGTTTCCAAACCCTGCACAGAATCAAACTCAAATGTATGTTTTTTTTTAATATTTAGAATCTTGTCGCTTGCTGTTTGTTCTTTTCTGTCATTATAATGTAACAGTTGGTGAATTTTTTCATTCTTCATTATCAGTCAAAAGTTGTCGATATTATTGTGGGATATCTTTATTTTCTGTCTTTCCCTACAATTTATTCTTTACTTTTCTCAGGTCCTCAGTGTTCACCAGCTATACAGAATGTGTACTCTGTATGATGATGACAACAACACTCAGAATGTTACCCCTGACGTATGTCTCTTTTAACTGCTCAGGTTCTTTTTTCCCATTCATCTTGAGTTTTAACATGGCTTTCCGGCATTTTGTCGTACAGGTAATTTCCAGCATGAAAATCCTTATGACGGATGACTCCAGCAACGATGACAGCCGGTCCTTTTTGCTGGATGAGGATTCCAGGTACGAAAACTTAAGGGAATGTTGACTGCTTATTCTTTTCAGTTAAAAACTATATTTTCAAAATTTATACTGATTGTCCCTTGTAAATGCAGTATTCCTTTCTCACTCGATGAGATCTCTAGTTCCCTACAAGAGAAGGAATTTTCAGATGTAAAACCTGCCTCAGAACTTCTTGAGAATCCGGCCTTTGAATTTTTACAGTACTAAGGCCAATTTTTTGTATCTTTATTTTTCACCGTCAAAATAGAGCTTTGGAAGAAATATCAATCCCCATTCGTTACCAGATTGTATATCCGCCTTAGTTTTTCTTGCCTCTAAAATTTTTTTCCGCCGAATGTAACATCCATTGCCCTGGATGTATAATTATTTTTTAGAGTTGTAAAATTCTCTAGGTTTTGATAGCTCGAAGGGCAAGGATGGTTTTACATTCAGACCACCTTTTTTTTTTTTTTTTTCATCTTTTCATTTCTTTGTTAAGGGCATCCTTGCCACCAGCATTCTTTGTAGGTATAGTAGGAGGAAAGAAAATATCAGCGTAGCATGGTGGGAGGAACTAATCTGATAACAACTTGATTCACTAATTTAGATTGTACAAAGCATTCAAAATTGAAGATATCTATTCTTAGATTTTCTTTTAGTTTTATGCTCGAAAACACTCTGACTTGTAGATACATCGAATTGAAATATAATCATTTGTTATTCAACTTTATGTTAGTTAATTTCTTTTTGGCTCATCAATATTTAATTTAGTTCCTAACCAGATGGACAAGATCAATACAGACAATTGCTGGTTCGCAAGAATTATTTAACTTTGTAGTGCCTTGAATGAATCAGACAGACTAGCCAAGAAACCTGGAAAATATATCATCACTTTCCCTCTTGTTCTTGTTAAGAATAAATTTTTCCCCCCCTTTAAGTTTCTTCATTCCTGGCTCAAGCAAGTATTCAAAGGTCATGACAGGTTATATGCCTTAGATGGCCAGTTGATCATAATATTACTCGAAAGAGTTTATGCAAGAGGTAAAGATGTATGACAAATAACTTCGTGACTGAAAAGAAATGAAACTCCCATAATTAAATTGGTAGTCTGTCCAATTCAAAGTTCACCTTGTAGCAAACAAGAAATCTCTGAAAGCACTGATTTCAAGTATAATGAATTTTCCCTTTGACTGGGATGAAGTTAAGAAGTTGAATTGAAAAAGAAAAATGA